AATTGCACTTTCTGTACCACAACTACTTTATTACCGTATACATGGCGCATCCTTCATGTTTCACATAGAGAAGAATTACCCAAACTTCTGAGGCAACACCTTTATTCTGTGCACTCACCTATTCTCGTGTTATTGTTGTCCTGACCTTAGATACCGGTAAAGTTGGCCTGCCTTAGAGATGAAATTGAATAGTGGATTTGTCATTTGGACCTGAAAGAAAACGGGATCATTTATGGGAAAGCCTCAATGTCAGTGTGCCTTCTGCTTTGCAGTGCCTACCAAGTCATGCATTAAAAATGGGTTTTTGTCGCCAACGTAAATTCCCGTTTCTACAGGGGAATCTTGAGAACAGTGTGAATAACGGTAGAGAAATTCCTCAGTCTCTACTGTGTGAGAGTAGTGTCGAGAGTGAAAGTACGCGCGGAGAGCACAGACGGCTTGCGGGTGATGAGAGTGAATCCTCGTGGGAGAGGGTGCCTGGAACAGGCAAAAATCCTCGACAAGCCGTTGCCGTTTCCTCGAGCGATTTCCACCCTGCGCGGGAATGCGTGAATGGTTTCGCTTCCATTCTTATGTCGCCCGAAGAGCTTTCATAGGCAATCACAAAGGGCGATGTGAAGGACTCCTCTTTCCCTCTCTACCACCACCTGCTCTTACAAGGGAGGTCTTTCAGGGCAAGCCGCGCTTTTTGGAAATGGTTTCTTGCATATTGTAGGGACGCATGTATGGACCACAAAACCATGTTTCGTTTTCGCTGAACGGTTTAGTAGTATCAAAAAAGTGGTGAATGATACCCTCGATGGTTCGGTCCCCCGCGGCGACTAAATTTTGCAATCAAGGTTGGCGGCCACTTGTTGGCTTCAAAATGGTCCTGACGATGAATTTGACATCTGATTTTGACATTTAGCGCGATTTGGCACCAAAACCGTAGGCGCCAACCCAAATGCAAAATTTAGTCGCCACGGGGGATCGAACCATTAACAGTACCTTATGCTTCTTTTTTGGTACTGCTAAAACCGTTCAGCGAAAATGAAACATGGTTTTGTGTCCTACATGCGTCCCTACAATATGCAAAAACCGTTTGAAAAAGCGCGGCTTGCCCTGAAAGACCTCCCTTGTCAGGGAAAGCATGTAGAAGCGAATCGACTGGAATACCCGATTTCGCTTGAGAAAGGTTACCAGAACGCTGAGATTTTTAAACAGAATCACATGAAGAGTGGTCCTATAACAACTGCTTACAAGCCATTATAAGGCTGCGCAAGCGCTACTGTTCAGTGGAACCAGAGAAGTGCAGCAGAGACAAGAAGAGCTGGTGCCACGGGCCGAAAAAAGACCACGTAAGCGCCATTTTCTTCGACGGTAAAAATTCCAGTGTGGAGCGAAGCCACAATAGCCAACAGCAGCCGAACCTCATCATGACATGGACGGGGGTCTCAACTACCGGTCGCTCACCATCACTGCCTGTTTAAAAAGGAATACAACTTGATACTAGACCGAGCCAAGGGACATTTCGGTGCACCATCTGTTACTGAGGTATCTAGCCACTTTGAGGAGGAATGATGATCTTTTCAATAGGACCCAGCTTCTGCATAGGAGGCAAAAATTGTTCAGGAGCGCTGTTAAGCACTCTTTCCGATTTCACATCCTCGAACGAATGGCTCTCCTATCCCTTGATTTCAGCGTGCTGGACCATCCTATGTGGGCTATGTTAGGGGCAGAGCCTGCACTAAACATTGCATCCACATGGATGAGCCGGAGCCTTTTCTCTGCAAAGTTTCGAAGAGAACACCCCAGGATGCCATGCGGGCCACAGTAGAGTTGCGTTGGGAGCCATACTCACAAGCAACAGGGAATCGAATCATATCGAATGAATGCCATTCCTTTCAATGTGTTATTGTATAGCTAGAAATTTGTATAACCTCTTGAAGATAGTTCTTGAAGAGGTCAGCATCAAGCCTCGGTCAGACTCTGCGATTGCAGTCGGCGCGCTGATAGTCTGCCTTAGCAATGTGGCAACGAGCGAGGGCGCTTGGCCTCCGCCACATCGATGCAGTCGACAATCGTATGCGATCCTCGCGAGGCTGCATCAGCGCAGATCCAAGATCGCAGAGTCTGACCCAGAGCATCTCACTTTCATCAGAACAGCTGTCTTCAAATGCTACCTCGCGTGCTTATCGAATTACCCGATGTTCATATGATCGATACCACTTGTGATTACTATGATACGACAATACGTAAGAGCCGAGCGGCGCGGAACACTATTCTATGACGGCGCTTATCACTCGTCTTCGAATTTTACAGGACTTTACTAAATTCAGCGCTATAGTGCAGACATGTGAAGATCATACCGGTGCAACCATGAAATCGAGAGAAGTTCCCGGTGATTCGTCGGCGAAGTCTGAAGTGTCGTCTTCGATCAATTGTGCTTGGTTCAAAGTGTAAAACGATGCCTGAAACAATAATTGTCAGTGGGAGTTTATAAGTAAGCCACCCTACAGAGAAAGGGTATAATTAGGCGTTGTCAGCAAAATAAATTTCTAATACTTATCGCACGAGCAGCCTCGAAACGATACATAAAACTCAAATGTAAAAGTATCATTTCCACTAATCAAAAATCAAAAAAAGCAGAAAAAAGATAAGAGCAGTGCACAGCGGCCAAAGTTCTGACGATATGCTTATAACATCATGATGAAAGTGATAAGCTGAAGGAAGGTTTTTTTCGGCACTATTCCACTACTAGTGCCGCCCAAACGCTGTAAAAGTTTGATAATTCTTCGAAACTTTGCCTATAGTGGAGTAATCTCGCATGCCTGATTTTAAGAGAATAGGACGTCGTTTATGAAATTGGCTAGTTACTAACGCGTATTTTCTGCGCCTCCTGGGCTCTCTCACTTAATACATTGTATCTTGAGACTAAACTTATTGAGAGAAGGAGGACTTCGAGGTAGGTAAACCAAGCAACATGTGACAAAAGTTGAAGTGTGTGATATGAGGGTAATGTGGCTCCACCCATTTCTGAGCCTTCGTTTCGATAAGGGCTTAGTCCTGATATGATCAACCCAGTGCGAGATGCGCGGACGGAGTAGAAGAATAGGACGTCCATGGCGCACGCGTCAAACCTTTAATGTTCATAATTGTATACAACGGGGACAATATACATCCCCTATGATACAAGGTTTTACACGACATATTCGGGAAGAGCCTAGCCGTCGTGACACGAGGTGCGCGAAAGTGGCCCCACAATGGTGCCAAAGGAATGCGAGAGAAAGTTGATGCTCACTGTTTCGTTGCAGGGCCATACTAATTACCGTAATAGCGAAGTCCTCGACGAAAAGAATAAATTTTGAGGTGTTGGCGTCAGGGCGCCCCGAGAAAAAGGTTCACAAAGTGGAAATGCAAGAAGAGTTCCGGGTGACTGAGACTATGCGTCCGTTGCAGGTCAACTTTAACTAGCATTGCAAAGTGGGGCTAAGCTTGGCAATCATACGACCTCATTCTTCAGCGAGTGCGTCCACCCTTGCTTTAGCAACTCAGGAGTTTCAGTCGCCACTTTTCAAGAAATGAGTCTGACCTGGTCGTAGACGGCTTGCAGGGAATACCATAATGGGACCACTGGACAGGTTACATTACCTTTTTTGGGAGGGTGTTTAACTTTAAGGTTGTTTTTCAGAGAAATTGCGCTAACAAGGAAAGGCTCCCAGGTCGCCATGGCCATTCAAGAAGAGATGTATACGCCTAGATGTGCCTTCGAACGCTGATCTCAAATCTACCTTCCAAATCTGCTAAACGATTCTCTGAACGGAGTTATGAAGCAAAACAGCGCAACGGTAGTGGTCGGGACTCACAGTCAAAACGTCGTAGGATCGGTCCCTTATCGTGACTACTGTTTGCTTTCTTCAGTAATACAGCTAAATGGGCTGCTGGAAATCGTTTGAACTGTGTTTCCGAAAAAGGAAGGCAGAAACTCCTAGAGGGATCGATACGACGGCGTCCTGACTGTGAGTCCCTACTACCGTTGCGCTGTTTTGCTCTATAACTCCGTTCTAAAAATTGCTTAGCAGATTTTGGAGGTAGATTTGAAATTTCACGCTTGGCCTCAGATAAGCCAAAAGCATCAAAATGCACACGTGCTGTCGGTTTTTTCGTGGCTGTTGCCACATGTGTTGCTGGGTCTGCAGTTGCGACACGTACGGCCGCGGGAAATGGAATGATCCAGTGGAATGAAAGTCCTGCTCATACGACGTCATGCCTTGTACGGTTACCGTAATCTTAAGTAGCATAAACTCACTTGTGGGTCGTCTCGTGTTAGTCGTTCATAGTACCGATCAAGTAAAGAGAAGGAAGCAACGCTGAAGATTTGTGACAGGAATATCGTCGTCAAGAAACGTGTTCCCATAACAGAAAATGAATGGTGGACCCTGAAAAAGGCAGGTTGTTATTACCGAGTTTCTTAATCAAAGTAAATCTCACGATTTTCCGCATGTAAATAATTATGCGCGCGATAATGAAATGAGAGCTGGAAGGTGAGTCACCAGCGAAAAAATGAAAGAATATGAAAAACTAAGTCGAATGCCAGATTCCTCAAATTAGAGACCTTCTTTAGAAAAATCTGTGAGAAATGTGCTGCATTGAGGGAAAATGCGAGAGAGAACGGACGAGACAGCACGGCGTCGAGAAAAAAGATGTGAACACCACACTGCACCAAGCATTTCATCGAATACATCCGGCCTGTGAGAACAAAAGGGAAAATGTTGTAATGCCCAGAATTGGATATAGGAAACTCGGTGGCGGTGGAACATAGTACGAGAAAGTGGCACTGGTGCAAAAAAAATGGACCTGGAAGAAAGAGCATGGGGGACGAACGAGACGCAGACAGCCAGCCAAACAAGGTTGGTTGTTT